AGCAGTGGCTTAATTTGGCAGAGAAACAAATATCATATGCAGAATCAGCATAGAAAACTGCGCTAATCATGATATATTCCTTCCAAAAGAATACCGTTTGGTGCAGTTTTTTATGCTGATTCTGAATGTGCTATTTGTTTCTCTAGTAAAGTAAGCTATAATGATGTAATCGCCTCGATACCAAGACTTACCTGGATGATTTTCACTGGGTGAGACTATTGTACTCCGTACTAAATACTCGTCTGCATCCTAGTGACTTTTTAATGACACAAAAAGATGCATAAATTCAAGCGCTACCGAAATGCATAGCTGCTTTCGTATTTACCTAACTAATAGAAAGTTTCAAAAAAAAAGAGAACAGAAGTTGGTTTTTAAGAAATGCGAGGGACTATGGTGCCTGTCTTGTGCTTTATTTTTTCTCATCCCATACGTGTTATTCAAGAGGTTTTAGCATAGAATAGTAGATAATTTCACGCGCTATCAGAATATGTACGAATATTTGAATATGTAAAAATAATATATGAAAAAAAACGAGTACAACTGTCTTTTTCAGGTGAATTTATCTCAAAAATATCATCATTTTGTTAAAAAAATTTTCGTTACTGAAAATGAAAATAACAAAGTATTGAACACATCATTCGATGCAGTTTGATGTGCTCTTTCATATTAGACTATATTTACATTCACCCACCTCGCCGGTGTGACCATTTTTTTTTCAACATGAGATACTTTCAATACTATCAAACGACAGTCCATTGACTATACTATTAATAGTAAAAATAAATTTCGTTGCAACTCTTATCGTTCTTGAGAAAATGAAAATTTACTGAAAACTGCTGTAGTACAAAAATCAGACCCCGTCTTATTTCGAGTGCATATATCTCCAGAGTGGATCATCCGTTCGAGCTAAAAGTTTCAGTTTCTTACTAACTTTGATGGGGCTACCTACTGTTAAGACATGAGCCAAATCGGTGAGATCGATTGAGCAACCTTTTGCTGTAACTGGTCGTGGCTTACGTGCAATGCCTCCTAGCCTTTAAAAAGGATTGCAATCAAAGTTTGTTTCAAGCCCTGATCGGCTGGATCTGAGTAATGGCTGAGCTATTCGTAGCTATACTACACTAAAAAGCTGTTAGCACAATCCCTCTGAGGTTAAAAATGTGAAACACGACATAATCACTGCAGAAAGTTACATAGAGATGGTGTACTCAAATGATTTCTTTGTTGATTTTGTGAAACAGCTCGTTTGTCGCTACCAGTGGTAATCTGCGCAAGGCTGTAACAGCGCATCTGATGGTCTGTGCTAGGCCTGAAGATTGTCTGACACGCTCTGTGATGCCCAATTAAGTAATTATATAGTAATTAGTTAATTAACTAAGCAATTTGGGCGTCGCCACGGTTTCCAACGGTCTCTTAACCTGTGGGTAACGGTCTATATGTGTGTGTAGGCGGGGAGGGGTGGAAAATTTCTACCCTTAACATTTCAACACTTCTTTCAGGTCGTGTTTCACAAAAACACGTTTCATTGTAACCACTTAAACTATTCGAGTCTTAATTGGAGTATGTGTAAGTTATTTGAAACATTTTCTTGACTGGAGGCCGACTGAAAGTACTCTAATCAAATGTTAACTTACCATATGCATTGCACTAACATTTGAGTGTTGATTATTTTAGCAAAAACGAAAAGTATAACGTGAAGAAGATAATAAGATAAAAGAAGGGAGCAATAGCGAGCGCAATATAATATTATTTTTGCGATGATCACAGCGTTAGAAAAGGGATGACGGAAAAAGAAGACGCCGTCCTTCATGATAGATCGAACTCTATGTAGACGCTTTTATATACCTTCGAGGGTGATAAGCCAATTGTATATGAGGGTCTTTTGTCTCCAGTTGTTTTTCTTCACTGGCTCTTTCGTAGAAACCAGACTAGCAAAAAATGGGTTTATACCAAAACATTTTTGAGACGAAGTTGAAACTCTCCCAAAGGTTTGCTAAAAAATTGAAACATTGTGAAAATGATTATCAAAGATCGAAGAATCTTTTTGTAAGATTTCGTAAATTAACTACGAAATCTAAAAAGTTTGGAATTCATTCGAAACTTATATATCTCTTTTGGGTTTCGTCTTGTATGCGAAACCTTTTTAACTCACGAAACCCATTATGGCTCCATAATGTCGACTTTTTTTTCAGTATACGCGCAAAACATATTTTTTAGTAGAGAGAGTAAAAAGGTCCCAAACTATGTGACTTCAACGGCTTGAAAGAGAAACGACGGATAGATGAAGCCTACTAGAGCACCAGCTCAAATACGAATGAGAATTGTAATGAAAAATATTCGTGCCACTCTTCTCTTTCTCGTTTTGTCATCGTACGGTTTCTTGTGAAGTAGAGCAAGCATGCCAACACATTTCTGCGTGGGTGTGTGTGGGTGCTACTTCGACTCACACCTTATATGTGGTGATAAACCGGTTGTTATGATCGGAGAAATGAACGGCTCTCTTGTGGTGTCTACAGCATAAACCAACAAACTAGTGAATGATGAAGTTAATGATGACGACCAATATATGTATATATATGTTGTAGTGGCAATTAAAATTCAGTAGAATTTCAATTTCTACTGCGACATATATATATATATATATATTCGATGTCATCAAAAATATGGAAGACAGCAGAGAGACGGATAATATATTTTTAAACTTATAGCTTTGTAATGTAAAACAATTCTAAAAATTATAGCCAAAATGAGTTTGTGGTACATTTTGCATTGTTTTTATAAACAAATTAAGTACTTATTTTGATGAAAGATTTTTACATAATAAGCAACGAAGATAATTCCTCGTCTGTTATCTAAGTGTAGCTATAAGATATCGTCTTTTCTTATTCTTCTTTCGCCAATACATTGGATCATCTTGTTTTCTCCTTATTTTTCGTCTTCAATAAAAGAAGATGGTTGTGCTATATGTTTTTTCTTTTTCATCGGCACAGTCGACTTGCTTTTTAAAATAAAGATTCCTTCATTCTTCTAGTTTCGCCTATCTGTGAAATAGCAAATACTAATATATATAACTAAGAGTAAATACCTAACACAAAAACAAAGTTTCCCATATCCGCAAGAGTTTCTTTGTTCATTCACATTCAAGAATAAATTTTTTACTTTGATATCAGAGCCGTACCCGGATCCAGATTAGGGGGGGGGGGG